CCACGGCTCTTATGAGGTGAGTAGCTTATCAGTAAGATTACCATCGAAGGATAATCCGATTGACCTTGCTACCAGTACCACCAATCTGTGATCGATCACGCCCGTGAGGCTGCTCGCGTCCAGACCGGCCGTCCTCTGGCCATCGCCCTTGACACCAAGGGCCCCGAGATCCGTACTGGTAACACCGTTGGCGATGCCGACATCCCCATCAAGATCGGCCACGAGCTGAACATCACCACCGACGATGCCTACGCCACCGCCTGTGACGATAAGAACATGTAAGATCTCATTCTCGTTCCTCGGAGCTTGTGCAGGACCGCTGGGTCTGCTCGGCCACAATCGTGGCGAACACAAACAATTGTTTTCTGACCGACTTGCAACAACAGGTACCTTGACTATAAGAACATCACCAAGGTGATCTCCCCCGGCAAGCTCATCTATGTCGATGACGGTATTCTGTCATTCGAGGTTATCGAGGTTGTGGATGATAAGACCCTGCGCGTCAAGTGCTTGAACAACGGCAACATCTCTTCCCGCAAGGGTGTCAACCTGCCCGGTACCGACGTAGACCTGCCCGCTCTCTCCGAGAAGGACATTGCCGACCTGAAGTTCGGTGTCAAGAACAACGTTGACATGGTCTTTGCCTCATTTATCCGTCGCGGCAGCGACATTACTCGCATTCGTGAGGTCCTCGGCGAGGAGGGCAAGGAGATCCAGATCATTGCCAAGGTTGAGAACCAGCAGGGTGTTAACAACTTCGACGAGATCCTCGAAGAGACTGACGGTGTCATGGTCGCCCGTGGTGACCTGGGTATCGAGATCCCCGCCCCCAAGGTCTTCATCGCCCAGAAGATGATGATCGCCAAGTGCAACATCAAGGGCAAGCCCGTTATCTGTGCCACCCAGATGCTGGAGTCCATGACATACAACCCCCGTCCTACCCGTGCCGAGGTTTCGGACGTTGCCAACGCCGTCCTTGACGGTGCTGACTGTGTCATGCTGTCGGGTGAGACTGCTAAGGGTAACTACCCTTGCGAGGCCGTCAAGATGATGCACGAGACCTGCCTTCTGGCCGAGGTCACCATCCCCCACTTCCAGATCTTTGATGAGCTCCGTAACCTGGCTCCTCGCCCCACCGAGACATCTGAGTCCATTGCCATGGCCGCTGTTAGCGCCAGTCTGGAGCTGAATGCCGGCGCCATTGTCGTCCTGACCACCAGGTATGTCGAATATTGTCGTTTGTCGAGTATTGACGTGTTTGATTGCGTACTGACCAAATTTGCAGTGGTAAAACCGCCCGCCTTCTGTCCAAGTACCGCCCCGTCTGCCCCATCATCATGGTCACTCGTAACGCTACCGCTTCCCGGTACTCTCACCTGTACCGCGGTGTCTGGCCCTTCTACTTCTCTGAGAAGAAGCCTGACTTCAACGTCAAGATCTGGCAGGAGGATGTCGACCGCCGTCTTAAGTGGGCCATTAACCACGGTCTCAAGCTCGGCATCGTTAACAAGGGCGACCCCATCGTCTGCGTCCAGGGATGGCGTGGCGGTATGGGCCACACCAACACCGTTCGTGTGGTCCCCGCCGAGGAGAACCTTGGTCTCGCCGATGAGTAAATATGCTCTGCGTCGAGGACAATTAAAAGTCAGCGAACAGATCTATGCCCCCGATAACATTTCTTGCTTTTCTTCTTTTTTATTAAACTGTTTCACGCTGGTGCGCGGGTGGGATTTACATACCTTTCTTATCTTTTTTTTTTCTCTCCCTGTTTTCTTGCTCCTTCGAAGCCAAAGATCGTTGCTGTGCCATGGTCAGGGCCATTGCTTTGGGGGGAAGGTTAATGCATGTGATGTAAATGAGAACGAATTTAATGCCTTCAGGTCAAGTGCGTTGTTAGCTAGCCTAGATATCCCCTAAAGAGAAATCAATAGACATAGACCTAGGGTGATCAGTGTGTATCCACGATGTTCATGAGATGATTAGTCCTATTCGCAACATTCTGCGAGTCAGTCAAGTCTTTCAGCCACACGTCATGCGCGGGATGGTTTGCTGCAGGTGAACTGCGCTACCCTGCTGGTGGTGTATTTTCGAAGAGACATGCACCAGGGCACTTTTCTTGGTTTGCGCATGGTTTCCACGACACAAAAAGTTAGATGAAGAAGGAGAGGAAGAGGAAGAGCGAAGAGAAAGAAGAGGATTGTCGGAAAGACCTGCCACCTGCCCTCAATTGCGGGGGACGAAAACGAAATGTCTCTGTCCGAGGCCGAGGCTCCATGTGTCCGGCTGCCCGTTGTGGTACCCTCTCCCTGCATGACCCGGCGGCCACTGTAGTTGTAGACAACGCAGTCGTTCAGATCTCGCCGCCACGGGTTCAATGCGGTACACCAGAGTGTCAAGAGGAAGAAACCCCCAGCGAAGGATAAAAGAAAAAGATTAGATCTGCGATTGGGAAAAAGCTCGTCTGGCTAAAAGCAATTCCCGACGGCAACCCCGTTCGGCTCCCGGTTTTCGCCGAGGGTCTCCGTGTGGTCGCCTGAGGCTTCAGGCTGCACTGTCGATTTGGTTAGTTAGTTAGTGAACTATACAGCTTAAGGTTAATGGGATGGCATGCGATGGTATAGGATGGTCTGATGTCTTCGGATGAATCTAAATAAAGGCATATCTGCTGGAATCTGGAAGATGGTGAGCTATGCCTGTTATTCCATCAGTTTCGCCTAATTCTGAATGAAATCCGATCAGTATTCGTTGTCGTCGAAGTCGTCCTCGCCGTCGTCGTCATCTTCGCCTTCATCTTCGTCTTCGTTTTCCATTGTGAAGCGCGGATTAGTTGCCTCCAACCCTTCATCAATTGCCAATTGCCTCGCAGCCCCAGAACCAGCAATCGTGCCTATTAGACCACAGTGTTAGCTTTGCCTTCTCAAAAAAGGTCCCTTTCTCCTCTTCCACATACCAGAGCTCAAAGCAACAGCAATAGACTTATTCACCGTCGAAGTATCACCAGCCACAAAGCAACCCCGAATATTCGTCTCTCCATGAGGCCCCCTCGCCATAGCATACCCGTCTCGGTGAGAAGTCTGAATCCCAAGCCGAGAAATAAGATTCTGCGCCCGATTTCGCGTAGGGGGCGTAAACATGAGAAAGCCCAGGTGATTGACACCCCCATGTCTGAACTGGATCATGACTGAATCATCCTGCATGCGTGTGAATTGTCGGATTTTGCGTGAATCGAGCCTGCAGCCGCGCGCCAGGGCCATATCGAGGTTATCCTGGAATCGGTATTTGGAGGGATCCTCGCCATTCGTGTAGATTGTTAGGTCGTTTTGTGAGAGGAAGTAGGCCATCAGCGTGGGCGCGATGTCGTCGAGGGAGGATAGTCCGAGGACACCAGCTGCTTTTCCTCTCTTTTCGAATCCGTCGCAGAAAATTCCATGGACACTGACATGTATGTATAACGCGTTAGTTAGATGAAACGTTCAGAGCAGAAAGAAAAGGGAAAAGGATCGTACATGACATCCCCCCAAAGATCCTGAAATCCGGGGATATCAGGAAGAATATCCACGGACCCAGTAGCAAGAATCAACTTCTTGCCCCTGTGGGTAGTCCCATTCCGATCAAGAACCTTGAATTCATGTCGCGAGTCTCTGGTCTGGAAGGTCCACGCGCGGATGATGGTAGTTTCGATGAAAGTGACCGTCTCGAATAAATTGTCGATCTCTCGTCTTGCCAACGCTCGGAATCGCTCAGGGTGTTGTCCGTCATGAATGAGAACATTGTGTATCTGGTCCGTTACATCATTGCGGTATTCGTGTGAGTCGAAAACTGCCACGCGACGGCCGGCTCTTGCGAGAGATGCTGCGGTTGCGAGTCCTGCTGGACCTCCACCGATGACGAGGACCTCGTAGCTGTTTTGAATGAGACTCATGACTGGTGACATGGAAGTCTGTTTGATGAGAGGTCAAAATTGAAATCGAAATTGAACGAGATGGGAAGGAGAGGAAGTGAGGTGATGCCTGGAAGACTTCCCCGTTGAGTCAAACCGCGATGAGCCCAGAGAGTAGTGCATATACACATTGCGTGAGTCTTGGGGATTGGTACTTACACTTGCACTTGCGCTTACTAGCAGGGATAGGGTGGGTATATATAACTGTTAAATCACCAACCCTAGTTATTTATCAACGATTCAAAAAATATAACAGTTTATCTATTACTGTAACGAACTGGTGTTGTTACCCTTCGGGGGTGCCTTATGCCTGCGGCATCCACTTAGGCATCCACTGCCTACTACATGCGTATCTAGTTCATCTCAGCTTCTCCCTTCTTCTTCTTCTTCTTCTTCTTCTTCTTCTTCTCCTCAAGCTATTACTTTCGTCGAACCGCTACTACTTCCCCTGCAGCGTATGCTACGCCGTATGCTGATCTCTGTGAGTATCTGAGCATCCTCACAAGAGAGATGCTGTTAAGTTTGACTACCATCGAGAATTATTCATTACCTACTACTAGTAGTACTGCCAGTGATACCAGAAAAGCTTTTGACGTCTACTAAGAACTTTAAAGCGATGTATAAATACATCCTCTATTGGTACGAGTATACAATAGTGTAGGCGGAAATAGATGAGTTCAAAATAGAAATGAAACGGAATTTCAAGTACACAATTTGGAGAGAGTTATATGAGGAGCTTCATTGCTGTATAAGGATTTCAATCATCCAGATATTTCAACCATAAATAACCACAGAATTACATGCGGCCTAAGCTCTCAATACCTAGTCGTCTTTTTCATTCCCTGGCCAGTTCGGCCACTTCGCGTATCCGGAATAAACGCCGGCCAAAACCCAATCTCCACCCTTTGGAAACCAGCCACTGCCGTGTGGCCAATGTTGAACCTCGTCGTCGATAGTGACGTTCATTTCAGAGCAGACATTCTTCGAAATGAAGGTGAGTTTCCACTGCAAAGTGTGAGAATCACATACTGGTAATGAATAAAGGGAGTTTGGAAGGGGACTAGGTAAATACCTTCATATCTTTATTGTCATCGTACCACTGATCCCTTGCACGTTCAGCCATCCATAAAGGTTTGAGAGCATCCAGGTCGCAAACAGGAATGCCGACAAATGGTGGAGTGGCATTCACAGGAGCCTCAATGATGTTAGTCTGTATTTTCTTTGCACTAGCATCGGTAAGCCATTTGGTGAATCCGTATGTTGACTGCGTCAAGTTGGCGTATCTGGCCATATCGAGAACAGATAAGCCATATTGTGACAACCTGTCGGTTCCCTTGAGATTGCTGCCTAAGGCCTGCAGAATATACATAGAGCCTGTGTCTTCGTCGCATACGGCAACTTGATAATCGGTTTCCCACGGTTCCAAAGGACAAGGACCATCGGGAGGTGTATAGTCGTCGTCATCCTCTATCCACTCTGTTACATCCGAAATCCTGTAGATAACGACTCTGCTCGTGGACCAGAGATACCCGATGGCTGAGCCCCACATAAACTTGAGCATACTGTTATCGTACATCGTCGCAGCTAACAAAGACTCGGGTTCAATGTTACTCGCAAAACCTCCATCCCGCAGGATATCGACTAGGTTTCCAGGCGTGTTGATATACTGCTCATCAGTGTTATAACCTGTGTTCTTTGCGGTTTTGAAAAGAGCATTATGTCCCCAGCTGTAAAATGCGAATTGGGTGAAATTCAAGAGCTTCCACATGTAATCTTCGAGATTACTTAGATTGTTGAGTTCACCTTGGATTCTGTTATTGATGTTAGCTAGTGGCAATGTAGGCACTTTGATGTATACGTACACAGATGCTGCATCCTGCATCATGCTGTTAGCGATGCCGTTTCCTTGTGAACTGGCACCAGCGCCAGCGCCGAATAAATTAGCAGTGACTCCAGATCTTGCTGCCGCATTCTCTCCAGCATTGGCAGCTACTATCGCACCACTCTTTACGAGACCTGGAATAGCCGCCGCGGCTGTACCAAAGACACCCGACACAGTCCCGAGAAGCCCCGCTGTCAGTGTGGCTATCCAGGTGTCGTTTGGCTTGATGAAACGTGAGTATAGGGCCGTAAATAACATTGTTATGGTACTTACATCAGGAAATTTATGGTCTGTAAACTCTTTGACAAGTGAGACTTGTTTGAGCCCAAAGTTATCCTGGGCATTTTTAATGGCTCTGAGTAATTTGGAAACCCAATCAGTGTAGCGCTTGATTGCTCCTTGGGCGTAGTAGTATTGAGGATTGTCTGAACATTCGCCATGAGAATCACAAATTCCTCCGGTAGTTTGATCTCTTTAGTCGTAGGCGAGAATAGGTACTAGTAAGCCACGGTATTGGATATATCGAGAAGTTTCAGAAGCTTACAGTGTGCACGAAAATAGATGTGTTCCTGAATGGGCGAGCTGTTGATTCATAAAATCAATGAAGCTTCCTTCATGGTCCGAAGGAAGTTTATCAGCCCTAGTTTGTATTAGTGCTTCATGACTTGGATGTTATCAATGAAGAAACTTGAGACAGGTTGACTAACAGGTCGAGCAAAAAGTCCTCCATCTTTTCATCCTTCCACGCATCCAAGCTGAGATTAACTTCATTGCAGCTTGATGTGTAAGCAGGATTAGGCCCAGTAGTAGTTGCATCAGAAGCCTCGATTGTCTGCGTGGCTGTTGTTGCCGAAGCATCTTTAACACATGTGATAAGCTTCAAGACGTCCAAATCATCACAAGTGGCCACTTTCTCTCCGTTTAAGCCGTTAGAGGTTACCACGCGGCAAGAGGCACTCCAACCATCACAACCAAATGAATGTCCATTGGTATCATATGAGCAGCCATCTAAGAAGTCTGGGTCCTTGTATTGACTCCCATAATATATATTTGGCGGCTGTTGGTACTCTCTAACCTTAGGACTTGTGATAGTGTGGCTAGAGTTTGCGCCATTGCACCAGTCCGGCTCACGAGTCACCCAGTAAGTGAGCCATTTGGAGTTACCGTCGGCTTTTACCTCATCTTGTCCCTTTGCTGCTATGATAATAGTTTCAGTTGCAGATGGCGATGATTCTGTGGTCTGAGCTGTAGTTGTAACATCAGATGCAGTTGCGGTTGCGTAGTCACCTCCACTTCCGGCAACGGGGGTGGATGAAGCAGGCAAACCTGATGAGCGCTTTCCGGGTAGTGCGAAGGCAGGCCCAACAGCGGTCGTCAAGAGTACGACGGGAGACAAGAGAGTCCGAACCATGACTGGAGCGGCGAACTAAAAATTCAGGATTGAAGAAATTGCGTTTGTGTATAGTGAAGGCGGAAATAGAGATCAATAAGTAATGCTGCATCATCACAACGTAGCGTCTTCTGTTTCGGAAAGATTCCTGCGATGCGGAGTTATGATGTGACGTATTACGTGAATCGGCGGATTCAGATGCTCAATAGTCAGTTCGGCCTAAGGGTCAGGGGCCCATATTCGAGATTCGGGGCCAACATCTGAGATTTTGGGGCCGAAGTTTACCTCCGGGGCCATGCCAAGTCCCGGGGTTGCCGAGTAGCGGGGATGCTCGCTTAGGGCTTCCCCAAGGGTCGGATACTTGATGCGTGTAGACCAGGGTGCAGCATGGGTGGGTGGCCTTGATTTGTATATATGCTCAACTGAATATGACCTTTTTCTGGAGTCTCTTCTCCTTAAATGCCACGGAAGGGCTTAGTCAAGTATAAATTCGTATTTCACGATTGACGGTGGCCGAGTATCTGGGGTTCCCAAACAACCTTTTTAAGCCCCCACGGCGTACTCCTCACCAATGTTCCAGCCAAGATTGGGATCATCGAAGGATCAATGGCTTGGTTAAACTCTTGTAACAAGAAAAGGAGTTGCTGGATTATTTGCCTACTTCCCAAAATCCTTTCACCTAGGTCCCAGCGCGAGCTAATGCATGTGTTTGCTGTTGTTCACTCGTCTATGCTTCATTTTCGCCATATTTTCCCGATGAGATCGTCCAAGTGTTGGCCTCTGCCCAATGGGCAGTGATTGATATCACCCAACACCTTGAATCCTGAGATATCGTATTGGATATGGGAAGTGTGACATTAATCCACTCACATAGACCGTTTGTCTGCCCAGGTGAGCACCGAGCCCAAAAAGCCGATAATCCGAGCAGAAATCCGAGAAATAGAGTGCCAGTCCTTTTTATAGGTGAAGATACTCCATGTACGACCGATTTTCCTTACCCGCAGGGAAAAAAGGCGATTCTTCTTACCCTTAAAGTACACTCAAATATCTTGCCCGGACAGACTAGTTCTTATCATTTGTCCGGGACGGATACTTTCGGCCCCATCTTAAGACAGTCAAGCGACTTTCTACTGCCTGTCAGGAGTGACATCAAGTGTATATGCGGGAATTTTGCTATTGGCTCATCCGAATGAGCTCTGTGGCAGGCGATAGATTGACTGGATAGAATAGCCATGGAGGAACCGACGACAGTCCACCGGGCATAATGGCATCGCCGGTAGGGGCAGTGCAATGCAACCTCGGGGGGATGGGGCGAGGTGTAGATCTTTGAGCAGTATGTGTGAACAGGGGATTTGTATGAGCGGAATGAAGTGGACTAAAAGTAAAGGGAATTGCTGTGACGCAATATGTATCATTTTTGAAGGCCCATTTATTTTTAGTATTGTTCTATGAGGACTCCTGAAAGTATTTCTGAAACTTGGGGCTGATACTGTCAATATGCTGCTAGCTGCCTCTGTGCCCAAAAGACAGAAGCTAGCTGCTTTAGATATAGAATATGATGCTTTCTTTTAGACTATTGTTTTGGTTTGTGTTAAATCTCCTGTAGAGAGACTGATGATTTGTTTTATCTGTCTTAGGAATCTAGTATTGTTGTAAAGTAAACGACTTTGTAAGTTTAAGAACTCTAGGTCTCTTAGCTGATACTTTGTGAATAAATATATTAAACTATATTCGAACGAGATACAATGTAGGTGTATGATTTGTGGGAAAAAATTAGAGTCTAAGTGTAACGAACTGGTGTTGTTACCATTCGTGGATGCCTTACGCCTGCGGCATCCACTTAGGCATCCGCTGCCAACATGTATCTAGTTCATCTCAGCTTCCTTCTTCTTCTCCTCAAGCTATTACTTTCGTCGAACCGCTAATACTTCCCCTGCAGCGTATGCTACGCCGTATGCCGATCTCTATGAGTATCTGAGCATCCTCACAGACTATCAAAAATATCATACCGTATTTGATAGTTAATCCAAACCCCTATAACTATCCATGCTAGGTTGCACTTGCGCTTGCGATCTAACCTGCACGTGCTCAGACTTGGAAACACCATGATATATTTGAATAGCCAGAATGGCATCTAGTTCCCAATATTCTAGAGTGAATGCAAGAGTTCATAAGAGTCTCCACTAGGGCTTTATAGCCTGTGTTCTCAAGTCGCGGTGTGATTTACCAAAGCATGTAGTAAAAAAAAGTGGAATCAGAGTAGTACTAGTACGCTTGCAAGCAATGATAAATGATAAATCCGTCAGAAGATAACAATGTTACAATGCATCTATCTGCTCATGTATTCCTTCACCTCTGGGAAATGAAATAAAGCAACAGCCACCAGGGAGGATTGCGGTTTATATCATGCGCAGGTGCAATCCCGCAACCCCTCTAGGACAGCTGCAACAACATCAGATCTCGGTCATGGCCTCGTTACTCGTTATCGCAAAGAATATGCATATTGTGGGTCATTGTAATCATAGAAGGGGACCTGCCTCCCCATTGCCATCAAAGGCTTCGAATTCCGTGAGGTGGCTTGCCTGGGGATCGCCGTGGGGTTGTCGGTACACTGCACTAGGTTGAAATTGATGCCAGCAGCTGTCTCAGTTAGCGCTCATCCTGAGCCTTAAGAAGGGCGGTAGGTAATAGGGAACACACCTTGGAGCTTGAAGTACGTATCTAGCCATCGCTTCTCGGAATCGACCCTTGTACTCCTTGGGACTGGTGACGGTAGGACGGTTGCGACTACTGCCAGCGAAGCCGCGATCTTTGATCCAGGACTCAAGCTTCTTATCCCAGGTATAGGTGCGGATACAGTCAATGATACCCACCACCAGCTCGCTGCGCTTGTCGTCAATGGCAATCATGAGCGAATAGTCCATGACATTTTGTCGACCCAGGAAAAGCGTGTCATTCCATACGCTTTGACCAAGCAGCTTCTTCGAATGCTCTCGTGCAAACAATGGAGTTTCGTAGATGAATTCGACCATGTTCTCGTCGAGCAAGACCTCGTCGCGCTCACCGGTACTTTGTACCTTGCGGTTGCGCATCGAACCCTTCAGATCGAAGATCCGATTAGGCACGCGGTCATAGAACAGGTTTTCCATCAACAGCAGGAACCAATTGAATTCCGTTCCTGTAGATGGGTTCTTGATAATAACTTGATAGAAGCCGAACATCTTGGCGATTGCGGACGGCAACTCATGGAATAACGCCTCGGACATGATTTGGAAGTATGCAGGGGCGAACTTGAGGAAGGCTTGGGTCTCAATCGGAGAGAGAGACTTGAGGATGAATCGATCGTCCAACGTTTTGAGGAACAGTGATTTAGTTTTGCCACCTTTCGAATCCCACTTCGCGCACCGGGAAAGCGATTCCACAATTCGATCAGCAACACCGCATTTTTTGCGCAGGGCATCGAATTGTTCGGCATAGAACACTTTGCACAGCATCTTGGCCTGGCCTTCCTGGAACTGGTATTTGAGGTGAGTGCCAGTAGCTCGCAAGAGGGCATGTTCCACTCGAGATTCTTCCAGAGCTTCCGGTCCGCTGTCGGGTTCCTCTTGATACTCTTCCTTTTCGTCGTAACGCTGCTGAATACTCAGAAGCTTCTCTTTGTAGTCGGGCGAGTCCAATGCAAAGGAAATCAAGGAGCTGGGCTCATCTTCTCGTACAATAATGTCACAGTCTGCAAAGACGTGGTCCATGACCGTGAGGGGATAATCAAGAGCAGTCCATCCACTGGCCGATCGCTCAGACCAGAAATTTGTCAACATTTTGAGAAGTGTTGTGCGCTCATGCTTTGCAAGATCCTTGAATTCGAGCGAGTCGTCATCGGGGAGCTTGACCTCTTCATGAGAATCAACAGGGTGAAGTCCCTCTGCCGTGTTTCGATCCTCATCGCTAGCATTCTCCTCAGGCTCACCTTCTGACGTGAGCTGGGAATCGGATCGTTCAATTCTTCCTGGTTCGAAGGACTCGGTTGGGGACTCTGACAAGGGCTCTGCGGATGGCTGTTGGTCTCGCTGGTCCATAAACTCATCGCTCCTCCGACTGGAGTCATCCATTGAGTGTCGCGTTGCCGATGACATGGGCTCTTCTCCATCAACCGGGGGCTCACGCTCTTCCACGGCTTCTCGGACGTTCCGATAAACCTCCACGATGGGTTTCGACGATGCTAGCGGGAAAGCGCGCGATTGGGCACCACTAGCCCGCTGCCGTCTCTCGCGTTGCCGTTCCATCTCGAATTCACGACTTAGCTGCTCAAAATGCTTGGCAAGGGTTGAGACATGGGTACTGCCACGTTTGGGTGTTGAACGTGGAATGAGAGAATGCCCTGAAGCGAAACGAGCATTCTTCAGCGCGGACAACCCCAGACGCTCGGTCAACTTCTTGTCAGATGCTTTGGCAGGCTCGCCTCGTGAACTGCTAGCATCATTCAAATTCAATGGACTTGTCTTCCCTCCAAAGGATCTGTCTCGGACAAGGTGGGCCGGCTGTGATTGAGTGCGAAGTAAAGGAGGGGAGCGAGCTTTACCAGACCGTCGGAAAGCTCCTTCAGCGAGTCTTGGGATAGCTGAAGGTTTACTAGGCGGCGTGGCTGGTAGATCAGGAGAGGTTTCGTCCTTCCCTGTATCACTCGCTAGAGCAGAGGAATCAGTTTCCTCTGGAGCGGATAACTCGGTACATTCGTTTCTGGATTCGGCTTCAGCGGGCTCTTCTGTAGCATCCTTGCTAGACAGGTGCAGATTTGGAGAAGAAGCTGCACCTGGTGGCGAAGTTCCAGAGTGACCACTTGAAACAGCCAGGTCAAGATGGCGGACTTCGTCTTGTGAGACAGCTTCGTCCTGAGGGGAAGGCCGTTTGCCGTTCCCGGCATCAACAGTCGATATTATTCCCCCGCTTGGAGTGAGCACTGGAGGTGTATCAACCGCCTGCGACATATCTCGGTGCTTTTTCCCAGCATGCTCCTCAACCAC